CTGCCTTGGTCTGCTTGCCCTTTTTCATTCTCCTAGCAGCATTACCGCTCAGTTTCCTTGGAGGCTGCCTTCTAAGCTATATATTGCAGCTGACTTGTATGTGAACACACAGTACCGATGCTGCTGCCCATGTCCTCCCTTAACCTGCAAGGGAGTGAGCTGCAAGATCTAGCTGCATGCATTTCCTCAGTAGTTGCATGTATTTCCTCAGTAGTTTGTTTGACATTTGTGGGCTTTGGTTTTAGCTTGGTTTGAGCTTGTCCATTTTTGCTGTAAATATTAATAATTAATAATAATTAATAATAATAATAATAGTAGTAGTAAATAATTAATAATAATAATAATAATAATAATAATATATTATTATAATAATATAATTGAATCTATATACTGCCCTATATCTGGGGGTCTCAGGGTGGTTCACAGAATAAAATCAAGATATAAAACCAAAATACATAATAAAAATAAAAACAATAACCCAATAGCCCTCTCCCCCAAAAGAACACATTTTAAAAGGACATAGGATGTCAATCAGATCAACCAAAGACCTGGTTAAAAAGCAACGTTTTGCCTGGCACCTAAAGGTGCATAATGAAGGCGCCAGGCGAACTTCCCTGGGGAGATCATTCCACAGACAGGGAGCCACTGCAGAGAAGGCCCGTTCTCGTGTTGCCACCCTCCAGACCTCTCAAGGAGGAGGCACACGAAGGAGGGCCTCAGAGGATGATCTCAGGGTCCGGGGAGGTTCACATGGAAAAAGGTGGTCCTTGAGGTATTGTGGTCCTTAGCCATTTAAGGCTTTAGAGGTCAAAACCAGCACTTTGAATTGGGCACAGAAACAAATTGGTAGCCAGTGCAGTCGGACCAAGACTGAACCAGCACATAATGAATATGTGCTCAGTGGAAGGAACACTGTGTGGGGTGAGAGCCTATGAAAGCAGTGGCCACAAAGCCCTTCTGAGTGTGAGCAAAGGCTGGAGTGTCTGCACTACCCCAGGTGAGAGACGTGGTGGGTGCCCTTGATATTTGAAGATAGGGTTTTCTGGAACATGGTGATATTTTGTATATTGTTATTTTATTTCTGTGCTAAACGTTAGTCTCTCTCCTGTTTGGTTTTAAATTTTTACAGTGCTGTATGGGCTGATTTCTTTTGTATTTCCTTTTTCTCATTATGATTGTTTCTAATGGTTTCTAATACATTTATTGAACTGTTCTAGTCATTGGCCATTTGATATGTTGCGAGTTGCTTCGGGCGGCACAGTTTTGTGGAAGAGTAACATACAGTGTGGTGTAGTGGTTAAGAGCGGTGGACTCGTAATCTGGTGAACTGGGTTCGCGTCCCCGCTTCTCCACATGTGGCTGCTGGGTGACCTTGGGCTAGTCACACTTCTCTGAAGTCTCTCAGCCCCACTCACCTCACAGAGTCTTTGTTGTGGGGGAGGAAGGGAAGGGAGAATGTTAGCTGCTTTGAGACTCCTTAGGGTAGTGATAAAGCAGGATATCAAATCCAAACTCCTCCTCCTCCTCCTCTTCTTCTTCTTCTTCTTCTACAAATAAACAGATGGTGACAATGATGATGCCATACCACCACTGACTACATGATAATGCTTTGGCCACATGGTCATGCGCTGCCAATGGGTAATTTTCAGGCCTGGGGCTGCCTGCTTGAGTGAAGGGTGGTGGGCAAGGAGCATGAGATATACAGAAACTATTTTATAGTTTGCAGGTGTTGGTGCTGTGGGAACCAGTGTAGTGTAGTAGTACACAGTGTCAGACTTTGACTGGGGTTGTCAGGGTTGGATCTCAGCCATAAATCTTGGGCAAAGTTACCTATGTTCTCTTAACCTAATGTACTGCTGCACACTATCTGGTTTTGACTTTCCTTTGGATGAGAAAGCACTCTAGACCAAAGGTGTGTGTTATAATCCTTGCTTTCCTAAGAAATATAGTGTGTACAACTAGCAGATGGAGGAAAACAGCAGGCACTTCTAGGAGGCAGATCAGCTACCCAGAGAGAAACCAACATGACTCCAGAGAGGTTCCAGCCATCAGCCAAGTGCACATTCTCTCACAGTGAACACTTATATTTCAACCATCAAATTTGTTATGTACTGAGTTGAATAGGATTCAGAACGCAGCAGTCTGATTGGTCCACAGGAGTCACCCAATCCAGCTCTAGGTGGAAGTGAATCCGCAACCAGATTGGCCTACAGGAGAATCCCAGAATTAGCCAATCACGTGGGGCCCATTGTGTAAATAATGTATATAAAGCAGACATTCTGGGGGAACTTCCATTCCTCCTCACCACTATGAGCTGAATAAAGAGCATGAAATCCACTCTCGACTCCAAGTATATTTCAAATTATTGTTTCTGAATGCACACCCGCCTTTTCTAATTAGCTAGCAGGGTGGATGGGTGTAGCCTTCCCCATGTTCTGATATTGTATCTAAACGCAAGGAAGTTTTCCAACTATTTCTTAACCACCAGTTACCATGATCCCACCATTCTGGATGAGAATGATAAGAGGCTGCAAGTCTCCAGGCTCCTCCGGGTAGCCTATAAGAATTAGAGGGAGTAACTAGGGGTGAGTATTGTTACATGCCACCCCAATCTCTGCTGAGCAGCTGCTGCACAAGATTCCAGGGGTTGTGATCCCGTTGGGAAGATCGAGGCGCAGCGGAGGCTAGTATCTTTAAGAAATAGGGTTTCTTAATACACATTTATACTTAGAAGACTGCAGAGGAGGAGGTGCAGAACATTATAGCCCAAATATGTCTCTTGTTGCCCATCCTTTAGCTTCAGCAAGTTTGAGTCCAAAGTAGCAGTCAGTCGTGGCTCCCAGACTCTTAGCACAGCCTCCTACAGCCAGTGCCAAGGCGAATCTTGACCTCCAGCCCCTGCATGAAGTTCTGGCCTGGAGGAATGGCATTGTTGTCCTTCCCAGTACACCTCTCCCAAAAAAACCCAAGCTTCCTACAAATCTTTTTCTTGTCACCTCACACCCCACCCTGTCACCTTGACACCCCTTGTTTTGCACAGACCTGAGAATCTTATTTCATGTGTAAATTGCGGCTAGGCTGGTTTGCATAAACCAGCCCAATGATTCCTTGTCTAGCACACTTCTGTAGCTTGCATCTTCCCTCCCTATCCCAAATATTAGCTAGATTCTGGCATGCATTAATGTCTTGGGTTTGCAGGGAGGAGTCTTCACCCCCCCCAAAAAAAAACAACAACTTATAACAGTATATTTTCTTTTTGAAACGAATGGCCTGCATAGAAATAGGGTGAAGATGCATTTGTACAGGATCTGGATTTTCGTTCATGAAAGTGGATCTTTAAATTGGGTCTGCAGGGCTAGTCATTGCGCACTGATCATCAGCAAAGTTATATTTTTCACTGATAATTTAACTCCATAACATTACTGCCGAGCAGGAACAAGCATTTCAACGCAGTCTAGCAGGAACCGCATTTCTTATGTGCCTGTGTTCAATAAAACAGTATAAAAGCTATCATAACGTTTTGTCAGACACCCAACTCAGACGAAAGGGCAAATTTTCTAAACTATAGAAGTAGACCAAACCGTGATTATATATTATTTAAAAATCAGAAGGGCTGAAAGAGTGAGAACAGGAAGCTGGACCAGGGGCTCATCCACACTTTTGCTTGTCCTGCCTTGGGGAAAAATCCCTGCTCCTTAACACTGGATTGGGTTAAAGAAGGTAAAGAGACCCCTGACCATTAGGTCCAGTCGTGGCCAGCTCTGGGGTTGCGGCACTCATCTCGCTTTATTGGCTGAGGGAGCCAGCATACAGCTTCCGGGTCATGTGGCTAGCATGACTAAGCCGCTTCTGGCAAACAAGAGCAGTGCACAGAGACGCCGTTTACCTTCCTGCCGGAGCGGAACCCTGAACCCTGTATATGGTCAATTACTCCCAGGATGGGACCCATAGGAACCAACTCCTAGGGGCCAAGGGGTCTTTGCCCCTCCCCAGTAAAATATTTGAGGGCCCGGGCCCCTCCAAAGTTGATGGGCATTGCCATTCAAATGGTGTGCATGCAGACCTGAAACTGAAAGTGTCTTACTTAGAAGAAGAAGCAAACACTTGGACAATGCTGCACTACCCACTGTAGCTACCACAGAACCTGAAACAAAACTAAAATAGTATACTTTATGAATGACTCATAGCTTACATATCCACAGAAAGGCATGGGAACAGAATTCTAGGAACATGAGGCGGATGAGGTGGGGACCAGATCTACCCTCGGCACTTTGGACCTCGGACGCCGTCAGACTGTCACTATTTTTGGATAGAATTATAGTTGATTGGAATGTATTCTGCAACAAACCCATTTCCTCAAAAGATCTGTACCTTTTGTGATAAGGAAAGTGACATTGATTATTATTATTTCTATTATTCGTTAAATTTGTATTCCGCCCTATACCCGCAGGTCTCAGGGCGGTTCACAGGATAAAATCACAATATAAAAACACAAAATACATAAAATCAAAACAAAAACAACCCAATAACCCCCCAAAACATTTTAAGTGTTATAGGATAACACTTGCCTATAACTTCTGATGGATAGAGTTGGAAACTCTTGTCTTCAGTGTCTTGAGAGATGGTTATAGTTATAGTTCAATGTTATTGGTTAATATAGGTTAATGTTATAGATAGTAAAGGAGTTTATAGTAATGGAGATACACCTCTAGGAAATTTAGCAAAATAAAATCATAAAAGCTATCTTAATCTGCATCCAGCTGTTGACTATGTAACACCTGGGGTGTCTTTTGGTTTAAGGGAGCCACCCGCGTCCCCAATGGAGATCAGAGCAGTGTATATTCTCTCTATAGATTCTCTACCCGCGTGCCTTTCTGAGATGTGACTGGATGTTTTTGGCAGAACAGGGAGCAGATGCCTATTTTTAGGCAAAGTTATTTGGAAGAGAGCTTGCTTGCTTGCTTGCTTGTTGCCATAGATGAGAATGAGAATGAGAGGCTCTGATGGAACTGCAGAGGGGATGAACAGAATACAATGCAAATGGACCCTAGTTAATTGTTCTGCTTTGGATTCTCCATCTCAACAAATGAAGAGATTGTCCACTATTAGGCAATCCTAGCATCTTTCCTGTATCCTTTCTAAGATGCATTTGAATATTCTGTGTGATTTAGTCAGAAATATTAAGGCTGTGCTGCAACCACAAGATTAATCTTCTATACGTAGCATTTGGAAACAGCCCAATCCGTGTCAGGCCTACTGTGTGATGCTCTGATTTTATTTGTTATTTGGGTCCAAATATGATAAGTTAAATAAAAAGTTCTGTTTTGCCCTCATTGACTATAATGAGGAATCTAAAAAATAAACTTTGCTGGAATTTGCTGTCAAGGCAGTCTTTCTAGAGGAGATTAAGCCTGCCTGCTAAATTCCAGCCGGATTTATCAAGGGTTTTTTTTGTTTGTGCAGGAAACTTTCAAAGTGTGTTTGTTGTTGTTTTGCTCGAATTTGATGCTAATTGCAGGCATAGCCAACCCTTCTGAGGAGATGAAGCCTCTTATACTTTGGAAAGATAGATACCGGTAGATCTCCCTCAATGACAAACTTTACCATGGGGGGGGGGTGAAGGGGTGGCCATAGGACATGCTGAATTTTTAAACTCTCAAATTCCAAAAATGTTGGGTTCTAAAAAGTGGTAACATGACTTGGGAACTCAAAAGCTATTTTGGTTAAATTAATATGAATTTGTTTTGCTTGCTAAATGAAATGTGTGTAAAATTGCATAGAAATCATCAAAAATGATTGCCAAGTACTTGCAATTTTATTATGTATTATTTCATATTATTATTATTATTATTATTATTATTATTTAGAATCTCCTGATATTTTCAGAAGATAAACTTAAAATTCTTTGGTTTTCCTAAAGCAGTTTATGTGCTTCTTCATCAGACGTAGACTTACAAAGCTACATGTTGTCCAATCACAAAAACAATAGCAGATTTGAATTCCTCACACCCCAAAACATATTTTTAAGACCCCCCCCCACTGAATAAATTAGCAAAAATTAAGTTTTGCTCCTGAAAATGACATGCCCTAGTGGGGCAGTGAGCATTCTGTGTGATGCTCTGTCAGTATGTTGAACACAACATCCAGCAACATGCTACCATGTTATTCCCTGTGAGCAGCAGGGGCTGGGAAATCAAAACGAGTAAGGCTGACTAAACATTGTTGCAGAAGGATGGCAGGCAGAATTGCCATTGCTGACAACATCCCCATGTGAAATCTAGATCCTCTAATAAGAGCTTGAGGCCTAATCTGTAGAGCCATACTGAAAATAGAATACATATATATATTCCCATAGCCTATTTTACTCCTGGAAATGTTGCAGACACCTTGGCTCCACATGCTTTTTTATTTTTGATGATTTTTTGTCTGGCAGCATTAAGTATATAGCACACAGTGCTGAGTCTGAGTGAATTTCAAAACGGTGTGCTTCCAAGGGCACAGCTTTTTGAGCTCCAGTTCTGGAGATGAGTATACTCTGTGGGCTGTTTCACACATGATGTATTTTTAAACAAAGATAATATAACTGCAGAACAGTTTCCTGGATGCAGCCACATCTAACCTTAGCTAGATCCCAGGTCCAGATGAATGGTGTGGGAAACTCAACAAAATGGATTCAAAGAAGATCCCAGCCTAGCACTCTACTTCGACAGTGGACTCCCTTGGAAGGTGGAGGCCTCTCCTTCATTGGAGACTTTTAAGCAGAAGTTTGTGGAATCGTAGAGTTGGTGGGGACCCTAGGGATCATCTAGCCCAACCCCTGGCAGGTGTTGTACTTATCATGGCATACAAAAAGCACCACATTCAATTACTGGGTTCTCTTAGTAGGGCTGGGAAACACTGCTTTCTGAAACCCTGGAGAGGCATCACCATTCAGTTTGGGGCTAGATGCTGCATACTGATCTGACTTGATGTAATGCAGTTCCTAGGTCTCTTCCTAAATCTGAAAATATGAAGGATTTCCAGTGGGTAGCTGCTGTGTTAGTTTCAAACAGTTAAACCAGCAAAGGCTATTGTGGTTTATTCCATAACCAAGCTAAGTCATGAATGCTTGCCTTGTAGCGCAAGTGGGCTGTTAGAAATAATGTTACGTTTCTCTTTTAGTGCAATTTTATGTTGTGTTTGTGTGCATTACTGAACTTAGCTACTATGATAAGTAAACTTGTGTATTCTGATCTGGGGAGATTCTGTCAAAAGCATGTGGTACCGGCCACAGGTACAGCGCAGGATGCTATCAGATCACTAGTGCAGAAGTACCATCCACCTGGCTCCTTCTGTATGTCAAATGGAAAAGGGAGGTGCATTGTTGTCCCTTTGCCTCAGGCAGCAAAATGTATTGGGGTGGCCCTGTGTTCTCATCTTTTCACAGTGGTGTGGCAAATATGATTTGGTTCTCTGAGCTGAATCTCAGTCAAGGAAAGCGAGCGCAGGCAAGTGGCTCAGGAGTCTTTTGGGTCCCAGCAATGATAAAGCTGGAGCAAACACATGCCCATTTAGTCTAGCTCCACCAAGTCCCCCTTCCCCTCTGTGCCAGGATGGGGAAGAGGTCAGGAGTCTCCAAATTACTTTGAGTGTTATTTGCCACCAAGACATTTTGGCAACTGAGGCGAACCACAAAATGGTGGGGACCTCCCCACCAGGGAAAAAGGGGTAGATGAAGATCTATACCAGGAACAAGGGGGAGAATCAAATCAAGCTTGCCCAAACATTAAAGGTAGGAATCGAAGGCCGTCGTGTGCGGGGAAGGGGCCCAATCTAAATATTGCCAGGTGGGTGCAGAGCCCAGGAGACCACACAGGGCAGCTCCCATTTCCTTCCTGGGAGACCAGCAGCACCTCCGATTTGCCCGGAGGCCACCGTAGAGACAGCATTGGTAGAGCTCCCAAGCAGGCAGCAGATCCAGCCTCCAAAGAACGTGCTGCTGCAGCCATCACTGGTACCACAGTGGAGGGTGATACGTCCCTTGAAGGCCAGATCTGTGGATTCTGCCACCTGAGGCAGTTGTCTCACTTGCCTCATGGGTGGGCTGGCTCCATTTGCCACAATAGCAGTTTTGAGGCACTGACAGATTCTGGCACAAGCCTTTGCGGATACGCACCCTCCGATGCAAATAGAGACGTCCCATTCCATCATGATAATTTTACTATTCCTGGGTTACCCCAGTCACGCTGGGCAGCTTACAACATACAGTGGATGCTCAGGTTGCGAACGTAATCCGTGCGGGAGACAGGTTTGCAACCCACAGCGCTGTGCCTGTGCGGGTTGCGATTCGGCACGTCTGTGCATGTGCAAAGTGCGATTTAGTGCACATGCGCCGGAAGTAACCTGTTCTGGTACTTCCAGGTTCGGCACAGTGCGCAACCCGAAAACGCACAACCCGAAGCGTCTGTAACTGTATATAAAAACATAATAAAACCTTTTAAAAAAAAACTTCCTTATGCAAGATTTTCTTCAGATGGCTGGGGTGGGGGTCAGATAACTCTATACCCTCCAATATTTCTCCAGTGAAAATAGGAACATCCTAAGAAAAAGCAGGACATTTTGGGATCAAATCAGAAACCAGGGGCTCTCTAAATCAGGGACTTCCCTGGAAAATAGGGACACGTGGAGGGTCTGCAGATACTCTTGGGCTCATAGGGAGTCATCCTGAGGTACATATGATATATAGGTATAAATCACACATGGTGAGAGAGGGGGTTGTGGAAGGCAGTTTGTTTTCAAGCGGGCAACTGTGTGCGTGTAAACTGAAACAACGTCTTGACGTTTCCGGGCAGTTCTTAAGTGTTGGTGGAGCCGGAGAAGAGGAACACCTTCAGCTTCCCGCGGCTTCTAGGACATTCTGAGGTGAGGCAGCGTCGGGAAGCTTCTCAAGCCTGCAACCGTCGCGGAGGGGGAAGGGCGCAATTCTGCCCCTCCTCATTAGTTCGATGAAGGATGGGAGGGGCAAGGCAAAGAAAAGCCGAGAAGCCCCGCCCTTGCTTCTCGGTTGTTCTCCGTAACGAGGGCGACGGCGTCACCGCGCCAAGCTGCAGCGTTTCCCTCCCCCTCCAAACCAGCGGCCCCTCGCGGGGACTTCTGCGCTAGCGCACGCGCAGTCTCCCGCGAGGCGTGGGTAAGGGAAGAAGACAGAGCCCCTCGCATATCAACTCGGCGACTTTCCATGTGGGAGGGTAAAGAGAGGCGCGGCTAGCGCATGCGCGCCTTGCCGCATCTCCCTCCCTCCCAAGCTTGGCTCCTCCCCTTTCCCCCCTCGCGCAGGAGGCGAATCCCCGCCTGCTCCCCGCCCCGCGCGTTCTCTGTCAGTGAAGGTTCCCGATGGTTCTGGAAAGAGGCGGCGGCGAGGCTATATAAGGCGAGCGTGAGGCGGGGGAGCCGCGCAGTGCAGCTCGAGAGGAGGTAACGGGAGAGCGAGCTCTCTGAGAGGAAGCGTTCTCAAGCAGCCTGGTCATCCAACCGCCGCCAAGGTGAGGAGGCCGCTAGGTAGGGGGACGGCAGTTGGCGGCGTCTGTTGCCCCTCACGGAACTAAAGGCGCCTTTGCCCGCCGCGATAGCCACAGAAGTGGCATCGGAGAAGTGACGGGGCGGAATTGCCGGTGCTTTGAGGTGCCGCGCGGTGATGGGGAAGGGGAGAAGGACGGAGGAAAGAAGTGGCGTGAAGGACGGGGTTGGACCGGTGGCGGTTGAAGAGATTTGAGGGGGGGGGGGAGGTTTAGAAGGTACAAGCGGGGAAAGATGTCTCTTCCCCACACATAAACACCTCAGCGAAGGAAATGGGCCGCGTGTCCCTTATTCGCGCGCTCGCCGCTCGTTCTACGTGTGCGTAGAATACTGCATAAGAAATACGAGTCGGCGTTTTCCTGCGGGGAAGAATAAATAGACAGGGTTGCTCGGGGCTAACGGACATAATAACGGAGCCGATAAGCGGCAGCTCGGCGCGGAAGGCGGTTACGTCGAAGGAGCGGGCGGGTGTTCTCGGTGAGAACGGGCTCGATTGTCCAGTACTTGGGGGGGGGGGGAGGGAGGATGGAAGCGGCGCTCGCGGGGGCGGCGGTGGTGATGGGGAGGCGGATGCGAGTTGGGGTGCGGGAGGGGGGGGGAATGTCTTCTGCCGTGGCGGCGCGTGCACGTTAAGTCGCTGGCAGCTTCGCGGCGCGGTCGAGAGGATTGGCTTGTCAAAGCGCTGGTGAAGGGAGGGGTTTGAAAGGGCAAAAAAAAAGAGGGTGGGCGGGAAGGCTCTAGCAGTTTCTAGAAGGATTTGGTGTGTTCCGCGTCGAGGCCGGCAGGGGGCGCAGGGACTGGCGTCTTGGGAGAGCCAGTGGAGTGTCCCTCTTTCATTCGGTTCCTTTCGCCGTTGGTCGTTTCGCTAGGCAGAGGGGGGCCGTTTTGCAGGTGCTGTTGAGTCCCCCCCCCCCTCGAGTTTCAGGTTTAAATGGTTCATGTTACAGTAGCAAAAAGCCACAGCAAGACCATCTTTAAGCCTTCTTTCTTACCTGTTCGTTCAGAAGTTGTTAAGCTTGCGGAATTCGGTGGGGTTTAATGCCGAGTAGATGCAGCCAGCGCACACACAGCAAACATTGGCCTTTTTTTAATTAGTTGCCAGGATTTCTTAAAACGGGTGCATATTATGTATGGCAGAGTGAACTTTTTTCACAATAAGATTGATTTATCATTGCTCCATGCAATGTGTAGAGAGAGTCTGGGCTGGTGATTGATTACATAGGGTGCTGCTGCTTGAATTACTCCCAGGAGAGCAGACTGTTGGGAGTTAATAATAACTCATTATTAAATATGAGTTCTCTTATCTATCTTGTAACCAACTTTGTAACAAGAAAAATTTGCATGGCAAGCTGCTTTCAGAAATTCTTGATCTGTGAAACATTACATTACTTTGGGAACTGTTATTGATGAAATAGTTAATTGTCTAGTATGTACAATATTTGAGATTGAGTTAAAACTGACTCCCCACTAAAGTAAAATTTAAACATAATTTTTCTACATAGATAACAGATACTTAGGACCCTAGTTAGGATGCTTAAAACATGCAATTGTTAATTCAGTGGCTACATTCAATGATCTGTGCTTTAAAAATTTTTTCTTTACTATTGGTAGATGCCAGAGGAAGTACACACACAAGATCAGCCAATGGAGGAGGATGTGGAGACCTTTGCCTTCCAGGCAGAGATAGCTCAGTTGATGTCCCTGATCATCAACACTTTCTATTCCAATAAGGAAATCTTCCTCAGGGAGCTTATCTCCAATTCATCTGATGTAAGTAAATCTTCCAAGGGGTAGAAAACAAATAATTGGCTTATGTTAAGGTTTCCTAAACACTGAAAAGGTTACCTTGTGTTTTACAGGCTCTGGATAAAATCAGATATGAGAGTTTGACTGACCCAAGCAAACTGGATTCTGGAAAGGACCTGAAGATCAACCTTATTCCTAACAAGCACGATCGTACCCTGACTATTGTGGATACTGGCATTGGAATGACCAAAGCTGACCTGGTGAATAATCTGGGAACCATTGCCAAATCTGGCACCAAAGCCTTCATGGAGGCCTTGCAAGCTGGTGCAGATATCTCCATGATTGGTCAATTTGGTGTCGGTTTCTACTCTGCGTATCTGGTTGCTGAGAAAGTAACCGTGATTACCAAGCACAATGATGATGAACAGTATGCTTGGGAGTCTTCAGCTGGTGGATCATTTACTGTCCGGCTGGACAATGGTAAGGAATGTTAATGTTCTCATCTTATTGGTAAATTGCCATGATTCTAAGGAAAACTAGAGCTCTGGTACAAAACTAGATCAGTAATTGTACTGAGCCAACATATGCACATTAAAATATTAAATTCTAAAGTTGGCTATTTGAAATTGTTACTTAGCAGTCAAATACTCAAAATAGCTTTTGTGGCAGTGGCAGTTAACTTCTGTAACTCTTTGCGTTGCAGGTGAGCCTTTAGGCCGTGGTACAAAGGTTATTCTGCATTTGAAGGAAGATCAAACAGAATACATTGAAGAGAGACGAATTAAAGAAATAGTCAAGAAGCATTCCCAGTTTATTGGATATCCAATAACACTTTTTGTAAGTGACTTTGTCTCCAGAACCATTGTATTGTGTACCAGATACAAAAATCATAGTTCTTAATTCTCCTTGAAATAAACTACCAAGCAGTTCACACATGTGTGTCAAAAATGGCAAGGGAAGCAAAATTTTCAGTGCATGCTCAAGCATTGGTAAAGCTTTAATAATGAAAGGTTGCAGCAAATTATTTTGGATTAACTAGTCACTCTAATAGGTTGGAATAGGAGGGCAACTGAAGTTCAAAGCTGCGAAAGAAAGTGGTATTGTGGAGGTTTATGTGCTTATCAACCAGTGGTCTTTTCACTTGTTATGTAGTTCAGTCATGCAAATTCACTGGCCTTGTTTCAACTTTGTTTTTTGTGGGCAGGTGGAGAAAGAGCGTGATAAAGAGGTGAGTGATGATGAGGCTGAGGAAAAAGAGGAAGAGAAGGAAGAAAAGGAAGAAAAAGCTGAAGATAAACCTGAGATTGAAGATGTTGGCTCTGATGAGGAAGAGGAAAAGAAAGAGGGCGACAAGAAGAAAAAGAAGAAGATCAAGGAGAAGTACATTGACCAGGAAGAGCTGAACAAGACTAAGCCAATTTGGACCAGGAACCCAGATGACATTACTAATGAAGAATACGGAGAATTCTACAAGAGCCTGACCAATGATTGGGAAGATCATCTAGCAGTCAAAGTAAGATTGTTACTTATGGAAAGCTAAAGTTGTAGTATAGCTTGATTGTAGAAAAAGCCCTCAATGAGGTTTACAAAATTGATGAAACAATAACATTACTAAAAAAATTTGCAATCAAAATTTAAAACATACAGAAAGTTAAAACCACTGACAAGATAAAACTCACAAAACTTTCTAAAAATGTAGGTAGGCTTGCCTAAAAAAGAATACATGTGCCTACTATCAATGGACAAGGAGTTACAAAGTGACAGTGCTGCCACACTGCCAACAAGTTCTTACAGAAGTGCTGCGGGTATTACATGGCACGTGTAAAAGTGCCTATTCTGCCAATGGAAGTGGTCACGTGGGCACATAGGGGGTGAAGGAATCCTTGGGCTCTCCAGATGTTTCACTACAACTTCCTTTTTTTGCAGCACTTCTCTGTGGAAGGGCAGCTGGAATTCAGAGCACTCTTGTTTGTTCCAAGGCGTGCACCTTTTGACTTGTTTGAAAACAGAAAGAAAAAGAATAACATCAAGCTGTATGTGCGCAGAGTGTTCATCATGGATAACTGTGAAGAATTAATCCCTGAATATCTGAGTAAGCGAATAGCTCTGCATCTGCTAAGTGGTATCCTGGTAGATATAGGATGGAAGTTGCTGCTACCTGTAATGCGTGCAGAGTGGCCTGGAAGATGTGTAACATAAGTGTAAATGCAGCACTTTGCATATCTTGAGTGAATTAATGCATGTTATGTGTGGAGTGCTTCTGTTTTAAATTCCATTTTTTAATAAGTTCTAATGCCAAGTGAGTGATGTGTGTGCAGCATAACACTGCCGTGATGTACTACCTTTTTTCTAAATCGGGCTTTCCCAAATCTAAGAATTCACTTGCCGCTCAAAGAGCTTACAAAGTGTGCCATTGACCCCAACCTAAATTTTATGCAACTATGAAGGAAAATGAAGAAGTATATAATCAACATTTATTAATGATCAAATACCATAACCAGGAACAATTAAGTAAAACGAGGGGAAATAATGATACCATGCATTGATCCCTGTAACTGTATTTAAAACAATTGGCAGTAAAGCAGCATTTTCCAATAATAGTTGTGGATTTGTCTTGCTAGATAGAGGCTTCTCATTTGCAAAGGAGGTGAACATGCCCATGGCAATTATTTCTGATTAATCTTTATTCATTTGCCATCATAAACTTCTTCTACAACCCTAGGCTCTTTTTTTGACCCCAGGTCTTTATTAACCCCTTGCCCTGTGCCCTATCTACCCTAGGGGATGACCGTTTCAGGAAACGATATAAATTGAAAGCAACATACCATTACTTAGGCGTATAAATAACCCATGCCTAGGAATAGCTAGATTATCACTCTGCATGATAGACTAATGAATATGTTCTTCACAGATTTCATGCGAGGTGTTGTTGATTCAGAAGACTTGCCTCTAAATATCTCCCGTGAAATGCTGCAGCAGAGCAAGATTCTGAAAGTCATCCGGAAGAACTTAGTCAAGAAATGCTTAGAACTCTTTACTGAGTTGGCAGAAGATAAAGAAAACTACAAGAAGTTCTACGAGCAGTTTTCCAAAAACATTAAGGTTGGTTGGGTCAGAGAATGCACTTTCCTGTGTGTCTTGAGTATTGGGTAATACCTAACATAAAAATTGCAACTTTCTTCCAGCTTGGCATACATGAGGATTCACAGAATCGCAAGAAACTATCAGAGTTGTTGAGATACTATACTTCTGCATCTGGGGATGAGATGGTATCATTAAAAGATTACTGCACCCGGATGAAGGAAAATCAGAAACATATATACTACATTACAGGCAAGTTTCACTTTTATAACTAGAAGCTAAAATGACTACAACTTTCAGTAGTGAAATGAAGTCTAGTTATCTTGATTAACTGAGGATTATTGGGAAACTGTGTGTGTTCTCTAGATGTTGCATTTTAGACTTGACTTAAGTATTGTCCAAGGGTGGCTTTATAGAATTTGAATTTGTTGCACAGGTTTGCCATATTTCATCTATGTTTTAGACTATTATTACTTGGGGCATTGATGCTGCATATGTTTGTGGCTTGGAAACTGTGTGGTCTTAGACTTAATAAATTTTGGGGGATGGAGGAGTGCTTAGTTAAAGTAATTGAATCTGTTTCTCTCTTTGTAGGTGAAACCAAAGATCAAGTAGCAAACTCTGCTTTTGTGGAGCGCCTTCGTAAACATGGTTTGGAAGTAATTTACATGATTGAGCCTATTGATGAATACTGTGTACAGCAGCTAAAAGAATTTGAGGGCAAGACTTTGGTTTCAGTAACAAAAGAGGGACTGGAACTTCCTGAAGATGAAGAGGAGAAAAAGAAACAGGAGGAGAAGAAAGCAAAGTTTGAAAGCCTCTGCAAGATCATGAAAGATATACTTGAAAAGAAAGTAGAGAAGGTAAGCATGAAATAATATGTAAACTCTGGTAAAAGCAGTTGTCAGATTGTTTCCTGCAAGTTCATAAGTTACCTGGTACTGTTAGACTACTAGTTCATCCTGCCAAGCAACAGTTTACAGAAGTTCTTCCAGCTCTGACTCTATAGAGTTTAACTGGAGGTGCCAAAGATTGAATTTGAGACCTAATCCCAGCCGATGTGATATCTGTGGTGTTCACTATACCACCTTTCTAATCCTTGTCTAAATCTTTTTTAAATTCTTAGTGCTACCTAATGGATTGCTGTTTGATAACTAAAGTTTAATTATGCTGGTGCACTTGGTGTACTAGCTTGGTGTTAAGATGATTCCATATTACAGTATGTTGAAGTAGCCTGCATGTATCCCCATTAAAAGTCAGCTGTTTGGTACAAACTAAATATCCAATAAAATAACATTCAAGTGCAAAAACATTAGTACTGTAACACATTTAGCTGTATGGATTTTCTCTCTATGTACTTACCTAGGTTGTAGTCTCCAACCGATTGGTGACTTCCCCATGCTGTATTGTGACCAGCACATATGGCTGGACAGCAAACATGGAGAGGATAATGAAAGCACAAGCACTCAGGGATAACTCCACAATGGGCTACATGGCTGCCAAGAAGCATCTGGAGATCAATCCTGACCATTCTATTATTGAGACACTGAGGCAGAAGGCAGAAGCTGATAAGAATGACAAATCAGTGAAGGACCTGGTCATCCTGCTGTATGAGACTGCTCTCCTGTCATCTGGCTTCAGTCTAGAAGACCCCCAGACACATGCCAACCGTATCTATAGAATGATAAAACTTGGTTTGGGTAAGTTAAACCTCATTAACTAAATGTTGTATAGTTGGGAAAGCTTTATTGTTGTGGAAATATACATAGTTTAACACTCAATTTTTGCTAAAGGTACTAGGTACTAGTGATAAAACACTATAATTTAATTACAGGTATAGATGAAGATGATACTGCTACAGAAGAAACTACCCCTGCAGTTGCTGAAGAAATGCCACCACTTGAAGGAGATGATGACACATCACGCATGGAAGAAGTGGATTAAATGGTTGATTTCTTGAAAGAGAAATTTGGATATATTTCTTTTGCCCTTGGCTTTGAATAAGTTATATTTTGTATATTATGAATGTGACCTGCCAAAACGTCTTGACACTTGTCTGCATTCCCTCTTTATATTTATTTTTGAAGATGTTACACCTTTATTTTTGTTAAATTTCTTTTTAAAGTTTATGTGAGATGCCATTGAGGGAGTGTCTTCTCATGACAAATAACACTGTACAATCCTATATACAGGCGAATAAATTCTATTGGTTAAGTGGATGGCAGGGTTTTGAGGTTGGCTGTGGACAGAAAAGGGATACGTTGGGAGCTTAGATTTGTTCTGCAATGTTGCTGTTAAGCCTCTGAAGTTCTGATAACTCAACCATCTGTAACATACAATGCCTAGTAACTAGGTATTGCAACTTTAAAAAGTGGAATATTTAAACATCCTATTCAAAGTTCTGGGATATTGATGTTTAGTCTTTTTATATACTGTAAAAAGGATTCTAAATTCCACACTTAAAATAGATTAGACTCTACTGTAAATCTATTGTGACTAATGCAGTTTTGCATGTACAGTTACTCTGGAAGTATCTAGAAATAAAAGTGTTCAGAATGTATCTTGGTTGAATTACTTGGTTTTCAATGGGATTCCTTTACTGGGGTCTATAGGCAGCTACTGCCAAAGTTTGATCAGCATACATGCTGCAAAATTTAGTTACAGCCTTAATTATTTGAGAAACTTTTATCCTACTCTTCAGCCAAAAAAGGCTCCTAGAATGGTCTATAAAACAAAGTGCAGGCTTACAAACTTCAAAAAAAGATGATAGTTGTGAACCTGCTTTTAAAACCTTTTTAAAACAATATGGAGGCCCTGTTTCAGTGCTATGTTAAGAGGAGGCTCTGGGATGGTAATGACCACTTGCTAATTCCTGTTACATAGGTTCTTCAGATTCACTGAATAAGATTGATAAAGCTTGGTAACAGTCATACTAAGAGTTCCAGTACTTAAATTGTCCTCACCTTGTTGGTGAGAACCAGGATCTAAGAGCGCACACACAAGCACCTGATGGTTCCTTTGTCGTTCATCTCTACACCTCTGGTGTCATATGTTATCAGTTGAGTGACTGGTGGGGTGTAGCTGGGAGTACTATTTAATACCAACGGAACTGCTTCAACAGATGCATCGATTTATGAAGTATTGATCCACCAAGTGACAGGTGACTTGCTTTGAAGGTTAAAACCAGTACTTTTAAGTTGGGATTGAAAATACACCAGCAACCAGTGTTGCTGGTATAGTGTTCAGGAGTCTTGCCACCTTGTCTCCATCAAGACCCTGGTGGCTATATTCTGAAGCAGCTGAATTTCCAGGCTGTCCTCAAGTGCAGTCCCTGTTGGTTTCTGCTTTCCTTCACTGTGCAGCTCTGCTTGTCACGAGACAGGTGTTTACATTCCACAGTCTGTACTGTTGGAGTTTCTCACGGGAAAGGGAGACTGGATGTGACGTACACTGGTTTCCTGTTTTTCACTGTGTGATTCTCTCCGAGCTGTCGAGGAGAGAGGATGCATTTTCTGCTCCGGCAGAGGCAAGATGTCTTTCTGTAATATACCAGCTTTGAACTGTAAATAAAAGCAATATAGAGTATGCAGCACATTTTCCTCATCCTTCCGCTGGGCACGAGACTCTGCTTTAAATCAACAGTCCCATGGAGATGACATTACAGTCATCAATCTTGGATGTGCCTAGAACATGGATTACTGTGGCTAGGTCTGAGATCTCTAAATAGGGCTGCAGTTGGTAAAACAATCATGGCTAACCCCACCACCTGAGCCTTTTCTCTGTGTGAGCTCTCAAGAAAATTCCCAAACTGCATAGCTGGTCTTTCGGGTGATAACGGTGTGTCACCCTATCAAAGGCCAGTTGTAAACCACTTTCTGTAGCATATGGTATCCCAACCCACAGCACCTGCATACTACTCAAAGATTTTTCCTTGGAATTTCCCCCTTACCCATCCTCCAAACAACTCCCAAGTACCAGTTTAGAACTTTACAGTACAGCCTCCCTGGGATCAGAAAATGGAAGAGAGACCTAGAACAGCACAGAGATGAGACTGTAACCCTACCCTAATGATGACTTCTTCCAGTGGTTTCATGTAGATGGGGCAGAGCAAAAGTCCCCCAGCACCATTCTTCTGAGAACAACTGTCCAGGAGTGAGCAGAACCCCACCATAAAGCAATGCCTTCATGCCAAACCCAAACGAGCAATTCAGAAGGTTACCTTGGTTGGTATCAAATGACACCAAGTGGTCCAGGAAAACTTATGTTCTACATAACAAGACTGAATAACAAATAGGATGATATGATGATTGAATACTTACAGCTCACTTTTTACCAAATGGTGCCAGTTCTGCTCCAGAGGGTAGGATCTATACCCTGAATTACAAGAAAGGAGATTCCAGCTAAAGGTTAGGGGAAAACTTTTTGATGGCAAGAGCTGTTCCAACAGTGCAGCAGATTCCATCTGAAGGTGGTGGATTCTCCTTCATTAGAGGTTTTTAAGCAGAGGTTGGATGGCCATCTCTCAGGGATTCTTCAGTTAAGATCCCTGCATTGCAGGGGTTTGGACTAGATGACGTCCCTTCCAACTCTTCAGTTCTATGAGTCTAGGGTGGGATGCAAAAATAAAGCAGTTAAAAACAAAACACACACTTATTACCAGTGCTTTTTTTCCTTAAAATGTTTTGGGGGTACTCCTTTTCCTACTCATATTGATATACTGCCCCTCAACGAGGCCAAACTTAGATTCACAAAATGTTTAGGGGTATGCGTACCCCCCCCCCCGAAAAAGCACTGCTTATTACAAATCATAAAAGTACAACCACAAACCATCCAGTAACAAAAATCAACAAAGCAGCAGCAGTAGTAATATTAGAATGGCAATGCACAAGGGCTTGAGCATGGCTTCCTTGCGGCCTCCCCAAGCACTGTGCAAGGACCTCAAGCTGCTGTAGCTCAGAGAAAGAGGCAGCATCTCCTGTGCAGCAGTCAGAGGATGCCAGACAACATGGCGCCATTAAGTCCCAGGCCAGGACCATTAGCCGCTCTGATTCCAACACCTAAGCAGCTTTCTTGACAAAAGAGCCTTAGAACGCTGAGCAAGGGCAATGCAGGAAGCGAATGCTTCTTGCCCCCTCAGGAGACTTGGAATCTCTCTTCCATATCAACACACCCGGACCGTCTGTCTTGTTTTCACTCTCACTTCTCCTGTGCGGAGCATGCAAAGGATACAGTGGCTGTTCTGCTGGCATAGCAGTGTATCTCTCCCAGTCACTGAGTGAGAGAGACACTCAGAGAGACACACTTCTGCAACTAATGCATGCTCACTCAGACTCAGCCCAGGAGAAGAGGGTGAAAATACAGGCAGGTGGCTGAGTGGTTTTCTGGGATATGCTTATGTAGATAAGCTTTCCATGCCAATGGTGATGTCATAGTGTAGCATGTGCCACAGTTCTGTTACCATAGTTGTGAGCATGGCATGGAACAGATTGCCTTGGTGTGATTGCCTTCGCAAAGGCAAAATGCTAGCACTTGGTAGCTAACAATTAAAAATGACCCAAAGGTAGGTTTGTAGATGTAATTGTTTCCTGGTTTGGAGATGCAGATCCTAATGTTGACACTAAAATCAGTAGATGTCAGAATCACAGTACTGGTAGCAGAGGAAGGCTAGCACTGTTCACCCTGACAGCCTGCAGGTGAATGCCCTTCTCATTACTGCCTGAGTCTTCTGCAAAGTGTGTGGTCAGCCACATAAGCTATATACTTCCCACCCTAGCTTTTGGAAGAGCTCCTGTTTCTCCTAGGAAAGGATAACTACCCTCCAACACTCCTTAGAAAATAGGGACATTCTTTCACTTGGAGATTGGGTTGGTGCAGAACAATAGTTGTGTCAAGGTTATGTAAAGAGGAATCCTGAGAACAGTACATTGGAACCTCGGGTTACGGCGGGGATCCGGGGATCCGTTCCGGAGGCCCCGCCGCAACCCAAAAACGACGCACATTGAAGTGCCGCGTCTGCACACACGCAGCACGATTTAGCGCTTCTGCGCATGCGTGAGTGGCGAACCCAGAAGTAACCCGTTCCGGTACTTGCAGGTTTGCCGTGGACGTTCGCTGAAGCGGATGCAAGCGGAGGCGGACGTAGAACGAGATTTGACTGTATTTTATTAAGGCTGCTGGGAATTATAGGTCTGTGAGGTCAGCACCCTTCACAAACTACTGTATTTTTCCAGGTATAACATGTCCCCATATATAAGACGCCCCCTATTTTTAGGGACTCCAATTTAATAAAGCCCAGCCATTCACTATCTGTGTACAGTGGTACCTCAGGTTAAGTACTTAATTCATTCTGGAGGTTTGTTCTTAACCTGAAACTGTTCTTAACCTGAAGCACCACTTTAGCTAATGGGGCCTCCTGCTGCTGCCGCGCCACTGGAGCACGATTTCTGTTCTCATCCTGAAGCAAAGTTCTTAACCTGAAGCACTATTTCTGGGTTAGTAGAGTCTGTAACGTGAAGCGTATGTAACCTGAAGCGTATGTAACCTGAAGCGTATGTAACCTGAGGTACCACTGTATATGATGACCCACAGATTTTCACATAATTTTAAACTAAGAAAACCTAGTGTTATACACGGAAAAGTACGGTATATTTGGTTTTGCTCTAAGAAAACATGATTAGCTGTGGAGAGGCGATTTATTTTGGAGCTGTGCATTGTGTCACAATGGGCTGAGGTCATCAGCATTAAAAAACAACAACACCTTTCATGAGTTTGGCTTCCTCCTCAGGAGGCAAAAAGAGCAGAAGTGGGTACCAAGAGGTTAAGCCATGAAGCAGTTTGCTAGTTACAAAGATGAATGGAAATACTCAGTGAAATTGTTTATATTTAGGAACATGGTAAAAGTGGTCCTTTTCAGCAAAGCTCTCTATTAAACCTTTGTTTTAGACTTCTGCTCTGATGGATGTTGCCAAATCTCCAGACAACATGGAGGGACTAAGGCATAGATTCATGGTAAATTCCTTATTTAACTCTATGGGGTTATCTTTTGTCTATATCAATGTTTCCCAAAATTGGGTCTCCAGATGTTTTTGGACCACAACTCCCACCCAGTGGTCAGGGATGATGGGAATCATAGTCCAAAAACAGCTGGATAGTCAAGTTTGGGAAACGCTGGTCTATATGTTCCATATCACAGAAGACTATGTTGTTTTCTAATATTTATAAAATAAATTCTCCTTCCTTTTCTTCTCCCATCATCACCATTCTCATCCTTCTCAAATATGTTCAGATTAACATAGCCTCCTGGTGAAAATAAAGTGGGAAATATTTATTTATAAAAAATTCATCCCAGCTTTTCCCCAAAGAGTGTAGGGTAGCATCCAGGGATGCACTATTTTATCCTTATAACAATTCACTGGAATCCTGGAAGCTGAGGCCTAGGTTTTGGCCAAATGCTTTTGGGTAAGAGAACCCCAGCAAAAATTTAACAGCACAAAAAAGACAGCAAAGAAAAGCATGGAAATATATGCTGGAAAACTTTTTAAATGTGCCTTTCCCAGTGAACCCCAATATATCTCACTTCCCTAGCAAGCACACAAATAGATCACATGCTTGGTAAGTCATAAAATAGTTTACTTACAAAACTCTCCAAAGGTCAGATTAATATGTTTTTCCATGCAGCAGTCAGAAAAAGTTGCACAGGCAGTGACATGTTGCTTGGTTACAAGGTGGTAAATGTTACTAAGCTATTGGTATACAAAAAGGCTAGTTTCAAACTCCATTCTTGTCTGAAACAAAAGAGCCAGCATTCTTTTCACTTGGCCATTCTATCCAACTAAAATTCATTTTTTAAAAAATCATCCTATGTATTTTTAATTTCTTCAACTTTAGAGAAGTTTGTTGCCCATTTGTGGCCATTTACAATATTGCCTCTATGTTCTTTTTCCCCAAAAGCAGAAATGCACAGTGGAGTCTGGGACAAGACCAGCTTCTGACACCAACCTTAAGGTAATGACTGCAGCATTTCCAGGCAATTGTGCCTCTTCTCTGTAGACTCCTGCACCTCAACAGAGGGGATTTCAGCCAGTTTACCAGCAGGTGACACCTGCTGAAAATCCCTCTTCTGTCACCCTTGTGTTGTCTTTGTATCTTCCCACTTCACATGTTAAATTCCTTCAGTCAGGCAAGTACTGTATTGGCCCGAATATAAGCTGCAACCACAACTTTAAAATTCAAAAGGGGTGGGGAGAAAAAAAATACAATACCCGAATATAAGCCGCTCCCTTAAAATTTTGCAGGCACTCACACCTGTTCCGTTTTACCATATGTCTGTTTCAGCAGCGATATCATAAAAGCCAGTTTTTGTAAGGTTGCGGGTTTAAGCCGCACTTTAACTTTTCATGCTCAGAATTTGGGGGGGGAAATGAGGCTTATATTCAGGCCAGTACGGTACTACAACTAAGTTTTTACAAAAGCTATTTCAAGCAATTCACATTCATTATTGCCGCATTTCAGAGAGGTTTAGCTGTGGGAGAATCAGACTTAGGCAGCTGCTTTTCTATTCTAAGAAGTTCTTCTATTTATAATGTAATTATTTCCGAAACAGGATATAATCTATATGCCCACAGATGGACTCCTAGAAAAAACAGGGGATCTGACTCATCAAGTAGGTTTGTACTTTTTTTTTTTTTTTCCGGCTTTGTTATATAAAACTCTGAACCAAGTATCTTCATTTGTGGATGTCAACACTACTGTTTTCTGAACTTAGGGGCACGTTGACCGCAGGTGAAACAGAGGACAGGGCTCCTGCAGTTTTGACAGTTGCCTACAAAAGGGAGATTCACTGATACTTCCCTTTTGGAATAATGAACAGTTTGGAAAGGGTTGTGCTTAGATCACGGCTCACAAATATTGGGTTGTATTCAGCAAAATGTTCTGCAGTCGGAAAACCAACCAACACTTACCTGGTCTGGAAAGGCTCAGAATTTGATCAAGTTTTGTATCCTAATGGTTTAAGTCAATACTTTGGACAATGTGCTATCCATAATCAGTGCTGGATTTAGGGAGGTGTGTGCAGTTCCCCTGTACAGGGCGCCAAATGGAGGGGGCACAGTTTATTTATTTTTTAAGAAAAGAATTACTGTGAAAATAAGAATGGGATGTGTGTCAGGGGGCTGGGCAGGTGAGGAGGAGGAGTGGAGGATACCCTGCCCCCACCTCAGGAAGCTTTCAGTCAGGTCAATGAAGGGAGTATGGACCCAGGTTCGTGGTGGTGGGAGATGGGACAGAGTCCAGAAGAACAAAAGAGCTGGGAAGTAATGGATAGTGAAGAACAGGAGCAAGATAGCAGGTGCACTAGCCCTGGACAGAGCCAGGAGCCAGGTGCCAGGTGCCAGGAGCCAGGTTAGAAACAGCACAGCAGCCAGGTGACATGATGTCTCTGGAAGAGTATGCCTCCTTCCTTCCTTCCTTCCTTCCTTCCTTCCTTCCTTCCTTCCTTCCTTCCTTCCTTCCTTCCCCTAGAACCTTCATTCTTCTTTCTTAGGTGATCACTCATAGCCAAATAATAATAATAATAATAATAATAATAATAATAATATATTATTTGTACCCCGCCCATCTGGTTGGGCTTCCCCAGCCACTCTGGGCGGCTTCCAACAAAGATTAAAAATACATTAAAATGTCACACATTAAAAACTTCCCTGAATAGAGCTGCCTTCAGATGTCGGTAGTTGTTTATCTCTTTGACATCTGATGGGAGGGTGTTCCACAGGGCAGGCGCCACTACCGAAAAGGCCCACTGCCTGGTTCCCTGTAGCTTTGCTTCTCGCAGTGAGGGGAACCACCAGAAGGCCCTCGGAGCTGGACCTCAGTGTCTGGGCAGAACGATGGGGGTGGAGATGCTCCTTCAGGTATACTGGTCCGAGGCCGTTTAGGGCTTTAAAGGTCAACACTTGAATTATGCTTGGAAACGTACTTGGAGCCAATGTCTTCCATAAACACGGTTTTAACAATGAGTCCGTAAGTGACTGTGGAGGCCTATTCCTGATCCACACGTCCTTCCACGGTGGGGACATTGGTTTCCAGGCAGGAGCTGATCACAGTGTAGATTTGCCAAGCATGCCTTCCTCCTAGCACATTTCTCCCTTGCATCCTGAGTTCGAGTATCTTCAAAGCCCACGACACCTTTGGTAAAGGTTGTTCTCCAATTGGAGCGCTCGCAGGCAAGTGTTTCCCAGTTGTTGTTTCCCAGCGGGTGGCACTGTGAGTTAAACCACAGAGCCTAGGACTTGCCGATCAGAAGGTCAGAAGATCAGAAGGTTCGAATCCCCATGATGGGGTGAACTCCTGTTGCTCGGTCCCTGCTCCTGCCAACCTAGCAGTTCAAAAGCACGTCAAAGTGCAAGTAGATAAATAGGTACTACTCCAGCGGGAAGGCAAACGGCGTTTCCGTGCGCTGCTCTGGTTCGCCAGAAGCGGCTTAGTCATGCTGGCCACATGACCCAGAAGCTGTACACCAGCTCCCTCGGCCAATAAAACGAGATGAGCGCCGCAACCCCAGAGTCGACCACGACTGGACCTAATGGTCAGGAGTCCCTTTACCTTTATATATATCTATCTGAACAGAAAGCCAAACAGAGACGGGGGATTCCCTTTGCGGCCACTGCAGACAGCAGGAGGGGTCTGAGAGGTAGGAAGTAGCTGCCAGGGGGAGCAGCGGGCACTCTGAGCAATAGCTCACATTCCATGGTCTCCATGTATTTCTATTTACTGCTAATAAAGAACTGAAAAGAAGCTCTCTGCTTGTTTGGTTTCACGTGGCAGTTAGCCAAGTAAGCTATTTGAAGTCTTCCTCATGACGGGGTAGGGGTGGGGGAGCAGCACCAAATTTTGTCCTTGCGCGCAGGGTGCCATATTACCAAAGTCCACCCTTGTCCACATGCTTTTTGGTCGTATATGCAAGATATAAAGGTAAAGGTAAAGCTTCCGGGTCATGTGGCCAGCATGACTAAGCCGCTTCTTGGCGAACCAAAGCAGGGCACGGAAACGCCGTTTGCCTTCCCGCTGGAGTGGTACCTATTTATCTACTTGCACTTTGACGTGCTTTCGAGCTGCTAGGTTGGCAGGAGCAGGGACCGAGTAATGGGAGCTCACCCCATCGTGGGCCCTGCACTGTGAAAAACCCATGACAGATTTAGAGGGGCATGTAAACAAGGAGGGCAGGAGAATGTTCTGCTGCACAAGGAGAAAAAGGTAACTTCGTCTCTTTGCGCAGCCGCAACCATGCAATAAACAAGTGTTTCCCCTTTCCCCTCCAGTCCATGGCAGATGTACAGCGGAGGAGAAGAAACTGCACCAAGGGAGCGTTCAGTATGATTTGCACGACAGGTTCCATGAAGCTGAGGAAGAGAAGTGCAGCTTTTCTTCACAAGGTGCCCTGAGGGTGCTCTCTTGTTTGAGGGAAGAGGGGGGTACAAGGTCTGGGAAGACATAGGAATGCACGGTGGCGCAATAGCAAAATTTGAAATGGGGGGGCTTATTGTGACCAAGGTTGGTCAGGTGGAACAAGGGCTGTTTCTCCTTTAATAGTTGGGTGGTTGAAGAAGTGGAAAATCCTGCCTTCTATACAACTATTAAAAGTGAAGGAGCCCTGTGTCCTCTTTGTCACCTGACCACCTGATAGTCCTCTCCCTGCATCCATAGCTATTGCACGCCCCCACTCCATGAAAAGTCCTTAATTGCAGGCAGCTGTGTTGCTCTCTCTATATCTTCCACAAAACACACCCATTATAGCCTGATGGTCATAGAATACAGACCTAGCAAAGTGTGATGTAGCGGCTGCAGAGAATGCAAGTTCACATCTCTGATCAGTTGTGAAATTCACTGTGCGAGGATTCATGTTGCTTGTAATTAATATTTATAGGAATATATATATATATATATATGCACATTTTTGTATGGCATAATTTGTATGTCTTGTATGGCTGCCTTGGAGGCGTTTGGTTGAAAGTGAAGTTAGAAGCATATGAATGAATGAATGAGGTGGAGGGCTCAGTTCTTAGGACAGAAACACATCCTGGGCTAATCGCTGGATGTTCCCTGAATTGAATGAAGCTCTGCGACTTTGAAAAGAGACACTCCCCAGTTTCATCTCTCACCAGGGCTGCAGGGTGAATTAGGGCAGGCAAGCAGCTTCCTTAAGAAGTTTTTCAGGTCTCGGTGTTGCAGTTGCAAATCTCGCTAGTGTATGAAGAGCTGATCTGGCCATTTAAGCTTGGGAGACTTAAACTGCAGGACATGCACCTTCAGCTCCAGGGAGGGTGACTCTGAGAACCCCACTGGCAGAGTAGCCGGCCTTCACGTTCATCATAACAAGAATGTCTTTTTAAAATGCATTAGAGAAGAGTGTTTCCCCACTTTCCCCCTTACAGATAGCGCAGCTGGTAGAGCATGAGAACTCATAATCTGATGGTTGTGGGTTCGAGCCACACATGGAACAAAAGATTCCTGCATTGCTGGGGGCTGGACTGGATGACCCTTGTGGTCCCTTCCAACTCTACGATTCTGTGAAAACGCCATTCCCCAAAAGAACATAATAGCAGCCCTACCACTCCGTCTAAAAGCCTGCCTAGTCCAGCATCCCAAGCAACACGTAAGGGAAGTAGCAGTCTCCTGCTGCTGTCTCCAGTAACTAGTATTCAGAGGCATTACTGGCGGTCTGATCCTGGAGGTAGTGTGCTCCTATGGACGGAGCCTTATCTAATCCCCTTAAAAGTGGGAAAGAGTTGCAACTTGCTGGTTGCAGTGCAGGCTTTGCATGCAAGCGGTCCTGGGCCGAGTCCTGGCCATCTGTAGCTTGGTGCTTTATGCAGAAAAAGAAGTTTCTGCCCCAAGGACCTTATAATAAAATATATCATTGATTAGAGTCCTTGGCAACAGTTAAGCGGGTGAGAAACTGTCCAGCATTTTGTTAGAGGGGCATACATTCTACATGCAAGCCCTATGCTTTAGCACTGAACTGTTCCATCCATCCCTAGCTGCACATCGTAAAAGAAGTGGAAACTTGCATACCCAAATGCTTTAGATGTCCTCTATGGACGTGGGTGGCGCTGTGGGTTAAACCATAGAGCCTAGGACTTGCTGATCAGAAGGTCGGCGGTTCAAATCCCCGCAACGGGGTGAGCTCCCATTGCTCGGTCCCTGCTCCTGCCAACCTAGCAGTTCGAAAGCACGTCAAAGTGCAAGTAGATAAATAGGTACTGCTCTGGTGGGAAGGTAAACGGCATTTCCGTGAGCTGCTCTGGTTCACCAGAAGCGGCTTAGTCATGCTGGCCACATGACCCGGAAGCTGTACGCCGGCTCCCTTGGCCAATAAAGCGAGATGAGCGCCGCAACCCCAGAGTCGGTCACAACTGGACCTAATGCTCCGGGTCCCTTTACCTTTACCTATGCAGACACATAATGTATGTACACATTCTCTCTCTCTCTCTCTCTCTCTCTCTCTCTCTCTGTATCTCTCATTCCACTTGGGTAAATGAGCACGTCTTGTATTTGTATGATGGTACAGTGTTTTGTCATTGTGCTAGCCTACAGATTCCGGTGGCAGATTCTGGGAAGAGCTCTCAATTCACCCTGACTTCAATGCGAACCTTCCTAGCGACAGAAGGCCCCAAGCAGCGCACGCTCCTACAATGCACTTGATTGGATCGGGAGGGGAAGCATCAGAACCTTTCCCAATGCCTGCAAGGTGGATTCCTCCATCAACAAGAAGGCACGATGACATTGATATGGAACCCAGCATTGATGCCCAAAGAGCAAACAGAAGTCTCTCTACAGGGACGGCGACCAACCTGCCCGGAATAATTCCAAGGGGCTCTGAGCTTCCGAAAGACTCGGAGGCGGAAGTTCAGGGGCTGGTGCCCGACCTCACCTTGCTCATGGATGTGGAGCCTTCGGAAGCTGTGGGACTCTCGCCAACTTCACCTGTGGCTCCTTTGCCGCAACCTCTGGATGGCGACATTGTTATGCTTGACGAAACAGTTGTCAGGAAGTCAAAGGACATCCCGATTCTAGAGCGGGTTGGGGAGACGCTACGGCAAAAGAAACTGCGCACCCCCCATACTTGAGGTAGCAGAATGGGCTCTTGTTCGCTGCGATGTGTAACAAATAGGAACTGTGGGCAGGGCAGTGGCAGAAGCAAATTCTCTGTCTGGGCACTACCTCTTCTCTGTTGTCCTTCTTGCATACCTTCTCTCAATGGAGGCTGGTGCATCAGGGCGAGTGCCACTGTCCTATCAACCTCTGTCTGCCCTCAGCCCACTGGTCTGCATTCTTGCAACCAAGTCCAGAAGGGTGGCCCTAGGTGTTGGCTTCTTCCTCCTTAGTAACATGTTGCCCATGTAGAACTCAGTAGGTAGCAGGATGGGCACAAAACTAGAGTTTGTTGGCAATAGCTGCCATTGGGTCTGCCTATCGTTGACTCTGGCTCCTTCTACTGTTGGCTTCCTCCTGCCCTACCAGTCTGAATGGGGTCCAGCCGCCATTGCCTTGCAGAGAGACCTAGGAGAAGACATGGGAGCACCTTGTGGTGGAACCCAATGGGTTTCTGCTTCTGCCGGTCCATTCAGCCCAGGAACTCTCTGGCTTGGGTGGCAAGCAAAAAAACGGAAAGAGACAGACAGATAGAGTACTGCAGGGCGGAAAAGGGGAAGTGTTTTTGATTAGGTCTAAATCTTTCCAACTGAAGGGCATAAGCACATGAAGAATCTGACATATAACATCTACCACTGATTAGTTTCATTGGGTGACCAAGGTTCTGGTACTGCTAGGCAGAAAATGCTCTGCTTCTCCACACTATGTTTAACATGTTCCTCTGTCATCCGTTTTCTAAGCCCTTAGCTGATTTAGCTTAATCCTCATATGCAGTGCTTTTTTTTCCTTAAAAAAAAAAGTTTAGGGGTACTCTCATTTTGACTCAAGAAAACCACCATTTTATAGTTCAAATCGGGGGAAATAAATACAGCAAATGGACAAAAGTACAAAGATTCACAAAACGTTTAGGGGTATGCTCCCCCCTGCATCCCCCCAGAAAAAAAGCGCTGCTCATACGGAAGGCGCTCTATTTTATTTATCTATTTACTTTCACACGCATGCATAACTCACCCTCTTCCCATCATGGAACCCAAGGCAGGATGTACCAGGTTCCCAAAGTGGTCATCCATCCGCACACTGACCCAAACACGCTTGGCTTCAACAAAGAGGTGGACCTTCGGACCATACCCTGGGGCACTCCCTGGCAGCTTAGACATGGTGATTTATGCAAAAGGTCCTAGGTTCTGTCCTCAGCATATCAATGTAGGGATGGGGGAAAAGGATCGCACCTGAAATCCTAGAGAGCTGATGCCGATAGGTGTAGACCAGGGGTCAGCAAACTTTTTCAGCAGGGGGCCGGTCCACTGTCCCTCAGACCTTGTGGGGGGCCGGACTATATTTTGAAAAAAAAAAAATGAATGGATTCCTATGCCCCACAAATAACCCAGAGATGCATTTGAAATAAAAGCACACATTCTACTCATGTAAAAACACGGTGATTCCCGGACCGTCTGTGGGCCGGATTTAGAAGGCAATTGGGCCAGATCCGGCCCACGGACCTTAGTTTGCCTACCCATGGTGTAGACCTATTGAGCCAGACAGACCAATAGCCCGACTTGGGTAAAAGCATATTCCTGCGTTCATTGTTTCTGTTGCCCTGCTCTAGCTCTGTGCACCTGCAATCTTACTATGAGGAAGCACCCAAGTCCCACATAGTTTAATGCTTTAGTTTTGTGGAGATTGTGTGGCTGGGAATGTCTCACTAATGTTTCCTTCCAATTCTGCAGTGATGCTGAAATGAATCACCTGGCTATCTTGGGTACTTTTCTGCTCTCTCTCTCTCTCTGCTGGGTATAGATGGATTTTCGCAGTTTCTCAAATAAGCATGTCTTAAAATGGCACCAGTGAAATAAAACATACGTTGGGAAAGAAGAAAGCTGTCACTCAAGGGTTGTTGTTTTTTTTGTTTGTCCCCTTTTAAACTAAAGACTCGTCCACAATTTCTTTTGTTCTGTGAGTTCTAGTCAAGGGTCTGAGAGACCTTTGTGTCCCGTCCCCCCGAACACCCACCGTTTACTACTGAATGCCGATCAGGTTTTCTGTGAATTGACATTTGTTCCAATTCAGCAGTAAACAGTGGGTTTTCCTGGGAAAACGCAGGACGAAAGAAAAGCCTCTCTAGACCCTGTGACTAGAAATCTCAGGACCAATGAGAGTGTGGATGAGCTGAACAGATCTATGTCCTCCAATGTTAATGTTACTTTGACATGATGCAGGGATTCAAAGGAGGCATTTTGTCCCCAGGGTGGCATGCAGGCGTCCAGAAGACAATGGGTCAACACCCCCACACAACCTAGGAGAGGATCACGTGCTCCAAACTGCAGTGGCAGGCAGCACCCCAAGCCTCTTCCTCCAGTTTCTCTCCCTACCACACCTAGGAGGATCAGCTTATCAACTTTCTCCTTCCCTGATTTCCACAGATTATTCTCAGCGGTTTTTATCTGATTCTCCCTGCCTGTTTTTCTTCCTTCTGCCAGTTCTTTGTTGTCATTTGAAGCCTTCCTCAGTTCTTTCATTCCCCTCTGTTCTCTGTTCCCCTCCAATGGTGCCATAGGTGTGTTTTGAGCTGACAAAACAATCAAAGCTAAAAAGTGGCCATGTGCAAAATTTGGCGACTGGAATGGTGATATGGCACCATGGTCAACCTGGCTTCAGTGTTGAAATATACTCAGAGTTGAGAGTGGATTTCATGCTCTTTATTCAGCTCATAGTGGTGAGGAGGAATGAAAGTTCCCCCAAAGTATCTGCTCTATATACATTATTTACACAATGGGCTGCACATGATTGGCTAATTCCGGAATTCTCCTGTAGGCCAATCAGGTTCTGGATTCACTTCCATCTGGAGCTGGATTGGGTGGCTTTTGCAGACCAATCATACTGCTGCATTGTTCTAGGACCAATCAGGCTGCTGCATTTTGGATCCTATTCAACTCAGTACATAACAAATGTCTTTCAAGGGCTCTTGCTTATTTGGTGAGGAGGACTTGAAAGCCTTTTTTGCGTCACAAAGGGCAAGAAACAAGTGATTCCTCCTTTCATAAGAGGGATGCTGAAGAGCAACAGGGCTTAGTGAGCTGGGAAGAGTCTATGGCAGAGAGAAGTCTAGAATCAGAGGCAGAAGTTGAAGCAGCGGGCGGGGGGGGGGGAGGCAAGATAGGTCAAGAGGCAAAGATAAGTCAGGCTGCTGAAGAGCAATGGGTGTCTCCCTTCCTGTTGCAAAAAGCTCCCCTCCCTGGTTGTTTCCCAGAACCAGAAGAGGCATGAAAAGGGTGGAGGAGATGATGCACACACACAGTCTCCAATTGCTTGGAAGAAACCCTGGAGAGCTGGGGAACCTCAGTCTCAACAACTGCATTATGGGGGCAAGACCTATTAAGGAGGCGTTGCCATGCTTATTAGGCCTGACAAATGGTGTTTTTGCTGATAAAGAGTTAACTCCACTTGCACAGTGTGATTTACCGCTGGCTTGCTCCTGACACGAGCCGTCCCACCTACATCACCAAATTGTTTTAAGAAATCCAAAATGGCAGAGAAAAATGCTTAGTTTTTAAATATTATTTTTCCAACTCAGAACTGAAATAAAAGCTAAACCCCACCTTTCTCCAAGCCCACTTTCCCCCTTTTCTTCCCTGATCTTTTTTTTTTTGGCCTTTAACTACAAATCCCAACATGCAGTTCAGCTACCACAATGCAACACCACTCCTACCTATAGAAATCTGGAGGTGAGGTGCAAGTAGTTAAGGTTATAATTATGGGTGGTGACTGGTGAGACCACAGAAGGCTGCTGGAGACAGGATGACATCTGTAGAAGAAAAGAAGCGGAAGATGAGGAAGAGGAGAAAAATATACCAAAGTGGGAATTTTATGGCAGGTACGGGGATGGAGGGAACTGGTATCAATACCTGTTCTGATTTTGCAAGTGTCCTAATTCACTTGAGCTAAACGTTAGTCCCCATAAGGTCAACAGCTTGTTGCAAGTAACGTGTAGCTATTTGGGTTATAAAACTGTAATCCTTTGCACTTGGAGTATCTCATATGGAATTTGATGGGCATAGGCCTAGGATCAGACAGTAACTATTTTTTCCCTTCTCAGCAGTGCTAAACAGATGGAGAAAGAATCCTTTTAATAAAAAAAAAGCTCATGGTAACTTTTTGGGGTGGAGTCTTTTGATAGCATTGCCAGTTTGTATAGAACCGAATGGAAAAGCATGCATTTTGGAAAGCCAGCCTCACATGGCATATTGGTACAACAAATAAGACAGAACTCAAATTTTGCTCTCTGTGCTGCTCCAAAGCCAAAAAAATAAAAATAAAAATAGTTTGTGTGAATTTTACCTTCTGTGTGTTCAGTTCAGCCTCTGTGTCAAAGAGCAGTGATCCTTAAATCTGTTTTCTTTTTAAAAACTTGATGGCCCTTTACCATTAAGGTCCCAGGGTCAGTTACAACAATAAACTATAGAGTTCTAAAACAAATATATCAGGACCATAAAGCAAGGAACATGTAAAAACAGATCCACTTATAGAAACAGCTGAAAATGTTTCTAAGACAAACCTTTCAGGCGATGTTCCATACCACTTTTGCTTAAATTCGTGTCAGGAGATTGAGAAAAAGAAGGGAGGCCAAACACAGCCGGTCACTGGTTTAAGAGTTGATTTCCCTCCCTAACCAAACACTTTCCCCTTCTTCTGTAGTAGATTCATGTGATCTTCTGAATCCAGGGGGGAAACCCGATGATATAGAGCGATTAGCTCAGAAGTACATGGTAAGATTTTCACTCTAAAATGCTGATTTGGAAACACAAAACTTTGCAAGGAGTGGCCTCACCTGGCCTAGGGATGGCTTTGATTGCACTGGGGAACCCTGCTGAGCCTTGTGACTGGGATGAAGCAGCTTAATTTGAGCCACCTGTGAAATGTGAGGTGGGAACGGCTGCAGGTGACGAGCCAAGACCCCAAGAGCTGCTTGAGGTAACATGAAATCCTCTCACCAGGCCTAGATCTGATGTTATACATCCCTCTTACTCCTTGCCAAAGTTTAAAAATCTGCTGTTGCCTGTGCATGATCCATTTATTTATTTCTACACCAGTTTTCCACCTTCCTCCAAGGAGCTCCAAGCGACTTATATGGTTCTGACCCCCCACTTCCCATTTTATCCCCCTGAGGTGGGTTGGGCTGAGAGACAGTGGCCTGGCCCAGGGGGGTCACCCAGCGAGTCTCATGGCCAAGCTGGGATTTGAACCCTTGTCTCGCAAATCCTAGCCTGTGCACACATTACTGGTTTAAAATGCAAACTCTTTCTCAGTTTGGATTGAAGGTGGTTTGGGGGAAAACACATCAAAACACGGTATTCCATTTTTAAAAATGACAAGATAGGTGTAGGATATGGATTGCATACACCTCTCCACAAAACAGCAGCAGGCAGGGCCTGGATATAAACAGGAGGCTGTGTTCAGACGTGAGGATTATTGCGTTAGTTTTCCTAGTCATAGTCCCAATTTCTTACATTCCTTTTACACCGCATTGCCTGTCGCATTATGGAATGCAGGCTTTTTGTTCGAAATACCGCCATGTTGCGCTAAAATTCATTCGTGCCAGTGTCTGTGGCGTGGCACTTTGATGGCCATTGCTGGCACACACATGCTTCTTTCCACCCATGAAAATAGCGGGAAGGAGCGACTTGCCTGCGAGAAGTCTATGAGCTGACAGGAGCATAACTGCACTTGGCCCACCTGTGATTCCCAGCTGCTGGTAGCCATCATAGTAGGTCTGCAACTCATCTGAAATCTGGGAGAGCCACTGCCAATCTGTGTGGGCAGAACTGAGTTAGATGGGCCGATGGTATAAGGCAGCTTCCTTGTGTTTCTTAAATTTTCCTGAAGAATAATTGCATCATCTTCTTTGGCGACCACTTGTAGGCCGAGTAAGATTGTCTTCCATCAACACAGTCTTAACAGTGAGTCTAAGTGACACTGGAGGCCAATTTGGGATCCACACGTCCTTCCACAGTGGGAACATAGGTTTCCAGGTGGGAGTTGATCATGGTGAGGGTTTGCCAAGCTTGCCTTCCTCTTAGCACATTTCTTCCTTTCATCCTGAGTTTGAGTGTCTTCAAAGCCCATGACACCTTTGGTAAAGGCTGTTCTACAACTGGAACACTTGCAAACCAGTTTCCCCCCAGTTATCAGTGCTTATACTACATTTTTTTAAAAGATTTGTCTTTGAGAGCATCTTTAAACCTCTTTTGTTGTCCACCAGTATTTCGGTATTGCATCATGCATGGGTAGGAACTGTGCAACAAGGGTGACTCCATATTGCCCCAAATGGCAAACTACTCTGCCTGTTTGTTTATATCTGGGCAAAGTGAATAGTTTTCAGGTGTTGAATGCGAAACTTGAGGAAGACTGTTTAGTGTGCTTGGCAGTGGGAGGTTTTTTGGAAGCTAAGGTTGCGGGCAGCAGGACTGAGGTGTTTTAAGAATATTAAATGAAATCCCCTTGTATTCACCAGCTGTTGTCTTTCACAGCAAAAGTGTACTGTTGAGTACAGCAGTGAATCTGGATCAGATACCGACATGGAGGTAATATATAGATACAAAGTTTTTATCTATCCAAAAGCTATACTGTGGTACCTCGGGTTACATACGCTTCAGATTACAGACTCGGCTAACCCAGAAATATTACCTCGGGTTAAGAACTTTACCTCAGGATGAGAACAGAAATCGTGCTCCGA